GCGCACAGGTACAGCCGTGCATCTCGCAGGGAGAAGCACTTCCCTTCCCAGCACATGTGGAGCACTCGTGAGACTAGACTGGCCTCCACATTTCAAAGAGCTGATATCATTCAGACCTTCTTCTCCGACCACAATGGAATTAAACTAGAAAATGAAAAATAAAAAATAAGTGGGGGGAAAAAAATCAAACATTTGGAAACATAAAAACACTCTAATCAGCTCAGCAGTCAGAGAACAAATAAAAATCAGGTCCGCCCAGAGTGAGTGGTGATGAAGACGGCGACATCGTACAATGTGGGACGCAGACTTCAGCTGCTTTGAGAAAAGGCCGGGAACGAATGCGTCATGCACCCAGCTCAAGTCAGCCACAGCGCGAGCCCCGAGAGCACGGGAGGGAGGCAGGGGAAGAGCCGAGCAGAAATAAGAAAGACAACAAAGACAAGGCTGATCAGGAATAATAAAGGGACATTCCTGCAAATACAGCAGAAATGTACACGGTCCTTACCAACGCCTAAGAAAAAGTCAATACAAAAACACCTTGAGGATTGTTATGCCTATAGGAAAAGAAAACTAACCCCCAAAATCAAGACACCTAAGTTAGTCCAAGAAGAAAATCAGACCTTCCCTACAGAGAACACGCCTGCCCCCGGAACAGGCAAGGACTGACCCACAGCCACTCCGAAACAGGCCCCCTGTCGACGTGTCCAGAGATCAGTAGAGGAGGGGATGCCTGCCCCCCGGTTCTGGGCTCCTGACACCCGGATACAATAAGCAGTGTGAGGAGACAGAAGAGGGGGCACAGCTCCAACCGAGCCCCTCAGAGGACATGCTAAGTAGCGGGTTATTTAGCACTGTGCAATTGTTGCAATGTTACCAGAAACCGAACAACAGAATTCACTAAATCATCAGATTTGAGAAGAAAAGCCATGAGTCTGATGGCCCAACAAGGCTTCATGGTCAGATCCCCTCCCCAGCAGGAGTGGAAGAGGACCTAACCCGATAATGAAAAGTTGCAACCCACGCAGCCAATGCGGCTCTCCCGTCCCACCAGCGGCTCGGCCAGGACGCCTTCGGTGGTTCCTGCTTCCACTCAGCATGTCCTGCACTCCCGGCTCCACACACAGGCTGCCAAGATGGGCACGCGCTGGAGCAGGGCCATGGAGGTGGGTGCCACTGCGCGGGTGAGAAGACAATTCCACGTGTGCGCCCGCGTGTGGAGGCGTATCTGCCCGAGCCCCTCCTGAGTCGCCTGGACAGAGAGCTGGCAGCTGGAACAGGCTCGAGGGGCTGACCGCCACTGTCCCCCACCCTTCTCCTGTGAACTTTGCCCCGGAGCCACCAGCGCTCTCACACCCCCACGGCAGCATCGCCACCTGGCAGGGGCTGAGGTACCCAGTGCTGCCCAGGGGTCAGCTATGAGACTCCCCACCTGCCGCCCTCGCAGCTCCTCCAGCAAGTGCAGCAGCAGCAGCAGCAGCAGCAGCAGCGAGGCCAAGGCTGGCGGCTCACAGCTCTCCGTGGCGTGAGAAGAGGCAATGAAGTTTCATGGGGACCTACACGGGGAGAGGCTGTCCCCGGGCTGCGTGTGTTCTCAGGAAGAGGAGTCCTGTCGGGCGTTCACGGTGAACATGGCCAGAGCCCCCTCCCACCGTGCTCCTGAGACGCGTACAACCGGCCGGTGGTGCCACGGCTCTTTTCTCCGTTATAAAGTCAGGAGGAACGTGCTCCGTCAGGGTCCTGTGGGCGCCCCGAACCTGCCCCACATGCCCTGCTGCCAACCCTTTGGAGGGAAGCCCCCGCAGGGCCGCGGAGAGGGAGGGCAGTGGCCACGCAGCAGGGACACCTGGCCAGCCTCAGGCACAGTGAGGGGGAGCGCGCTTAGTCTGCTTCCCAGTCCTGGCTGGCTGGGGTGGGGGGGCCTCATTATTATTTAAAGGCCTAAAAATATTGCTGGCCGTAAATCAGCCCCTGCTTCAAGGCCGTGGGCCCTGCCCCAAGTGTGGGAAGAAGGAGCAGGTCTGTGCACCACCTGTGTCTGACGACAGAGGCCCGAGCTCCTGGTGGCGCCCTGGAAAGCCACCTTGGGAAGGCAGGTGAGCAGCCTGGCGTCACAGCGCGTCCTCAAGGCTGCAGCATCCTGATGCAGGTGACTGAGGACTCCTGGCCACTACCCCAGCCCTGGCCAAACCTGTCCTGGACCAGGCCCCTCCGGGGAGGATCCCTGGCCACCAGTGGCTCTCGCAGCGCATGACCTCAGGTGCCAGGAATGTGCACGCGGCGCGGCCGCCATCTGGTTCCCATTACCCACGCTCTGCTGCGGGAAACCTCATCTGCGTCTCCGCGCCCAGCGCCCGCCTGGGAGAGATTGATTTGGGCTCATTAGAGACTTCAGCAGCAGGCCGAAAGGTGAGGCGCATCTGTGCCCACGTGGCAGGGCCGGGCACAGCGCACCAAGGGCCCTGGGGCAAGGACGCCTGTGGATGACGAGGGCCTGGGGGCCGCCAGATGCTTCCTCCTCAGAGGCCTGCGCTGCCCAGCCCCAAATTCTCCAGGGCCTCTGGGCCGAACCAACTTTGAAGGTGATGCCCAGCTGTCCTTGGGTGAGGTGGCATGCTCAGCGGGAGGAGCCCTCTCCGGCTGGGCGAGGCCCCGGCCCAGGCACCGCCATCACGCCAACGACAGCCATCCTGCAGAGCCTGCTCACCGTCTGCTAGAACTTTCCAATTCATTAATAATGCCCTCTGCTTTAACTTTTCAATTCATCAGTACAGTAAAAGTTCATCTCTGGACTGCAACGTGCCCCATAAATTTAAGTCTTAAGTTCCAGCAGCTGTTTCTCGAGGGAGCCAGGAGAGACCAGGCAGATCTGAGCCAGGAGGGCCCATTCCCGGACCCGGGACCCGGGACCCGGGAGCGCTGCAGCCTGGGCAGGGTCCTCAGGGAAGCTGCCTGAGTGGTCAGCTCTGGGAGAAGTCAGGCTGGTGAAGTTCAAGGCGCAGTGGGGCGAACACTGGACTCCACAGTGAGGGGGTCTCTACAGGCTTGAGGAGCCGGAGGGGAGGGTGTGAGGGAGAACCCTGCTGCCCATGGAGGGGGGAGGGCTCAGTCCTCAGCAAGGCTGACTCAACTGCTGAGGACCCAGCACGTGGAGATGGAGCCCCAGAGTGGTTCTGCTTCCTTCCGAAGACGGCCGCCATTGTTATGACCGTCACTCCCACCCCGGCAGGTCCACAGGGGCCCGTCTCCAGGATGAAGGCACTCGAAGCTCAGCCCCCACTGCCTGGCCTGGCCCCACTGGCAGGCCTGTCTGACCCCCTTCCTTCAGGGCCTGTGGCTCCCTGGGATGACAGAAGGATGGAGGCATGGTTGGACATTGGGAAGGGTGATGCCAAGGAAGTGTGAATGTGTGCCCTGTCCCCAAACAGGACATGTGACCCCTCCTTCTCCTGTCTTGCTGGGCTCCGACCGCTGCTCCTCATGACTCACAGGGCTCGAGACAGACCCTCAGACCCCACCTGCAGAGTCACGGGGCAGCCTCACACCTGGGAAGTTGGCATGGTCCTACTCCTGCCGCCACCCACCACCTGTTCTGGTTCTAACCTTGGTTCTCCAGCAGGACTATTCTTTCTGGGATGCCAGTGGCCCCTTCAGCTGTAGCATGGGAGGGCACCTCCCAGTCTCTCTACCTGACCTCAGTGTCTATCCTCAGACTTTTGCATCACTGCTCTCTTGGACACCCCCTCCTGTCCTGGCTGTCCTCGCTCTGTCCTCTTGGGGTGGCCTGGTGACAATGTCACACCCCCAGGTTACAGTTAGAGCGTGGTGATGCCTGCTGGGTACCACAGTGTGTTCTGATTTTCACCTGGGGCCCATCCCTCCCCCACCCCACCCATGTGTCTGAGGGGCCCAAGGGTGCCTCTTCCCCTTGCTGTGGGGTCCAGTCTGGGCAACTATAAGGCAGGCTTGGTAGGCTGCTGGGCAAGGCTCCCCACCTGGAGAGGAGCTCCGAGAGACACCTCTACTCTGCCCTCCCATCTCTGGTGGGAAGCTGGACCACAGCCTTGCCGAGACAGCCCAGGACCTGCCCTGCAGCAACCATGATGAAAGCCAGTGAGGTCAGGAGCTGGGCTGCTGCTGCTACTGGCACCACCTGGAGTCCTGCTCCCCCGAGACCTGGATTCAGACTCCCTGGCTAATGGGGGCTCCTCGCCCACCCCCAGAAGCCAGTGTGCACCTAGGTGACCCTCTGGGGGCCAGGAGGTATAGGACACACCCAGCAGCATCTCCTCCCCCATGGCCTGTAGCTCCCGGGACCTGCACCAGAGTGAGGCCTGGGTAGGAGGACTCCCACCCCCAAACTCCATCCCTCCCATCCCAAACAGGGCTGAGAAGTGGGCTAGGCCAACCCATGCGGAGCACCAGGCACAGCCCAGACGGGGCCCCCAGGTGCTCCGCGAGGCCGGCTGGATGGAAAAGTCCACTGGGACGTTGTGAGGGTCACTGGGTTGTTAGGGGGAGGCTTTCAGCAACGCCCCACTCCACCCTGAGGCCTCACATCCCCTCCCGCTGCCCGTGAGGAACGGCCTCCCTGGGGCCGGCTTGCAGGCCGCCACCGGGCGTGAGTCCGTGGATTTATCCACATTGGGCTATTTTTGTTTTTTGATTAATCAGTTCCTTACTGACCAAATTCCTCTGAGTTTTTGCAAATGGGCTGGCGTACTTACTCCTGGACTCTACATGCCTTTTCTCTAGATGGACAAGACGTGACTGCTATTAACCCAGGGTCTGAGAGAAACCCAAACCATGTGAACGGTTCACAAACGCCCACGCCCCCTTCTTCCTGCGCTGGCCCCACAGACAGGCCCGCCTGCACCCCGCCTCGGAGTGATTAATTAGCCAGCGATCTGCAACAACTCCTCTTCATGCCTAAATATTGTTTCAGCCTATCAGACTGTTAGTGCAGAGCAGGATAAATGACACCTCGGGTCTGGCGCACTGACCTGCAGGGCCTGCTGCTCATCCAGGCTCCAGACAGCCAGCGCCTTCTCCGCGGAGCCCGAGACGCCCCTGGCCTTCTGGGAGTCAAAGTCAAGGCCCATGACGGGCTCTGTGTGGCAGGCGATTCGGCTGCACACCTTCCGCTCGGAGACATCCCACAGGGCCACCGATCCATCCTCATAGCCAGCCAGGAGGCACGGGCGGGGGCTGGAGTCAGTCTGCGGGGAACAGAACAGCAGTCAGCTCCTGAGGGGTCCTGGTGCGTCTTTGGGGACAAGGGACTCTAGAAATGGGCTGTCTCTCCCGCTGGCCTGGGGGTGGCCCAGCCAGGAGCTGTTTCCGTGGTCTTCACACGCAGTGACAGTGTGGAGGTTCCACACACCCTGATGGCTGATACCACCGGTACAGGACCTGTGCAGGCTGGTGTTGGGGCACCCCAGGCACCAGGACTGGAGGGCACAGAGCTTGGCACGCCCCCACCTAACACTGTCGTGCCGCTGTTTGCCAGCCAGGTCCTGCTAGGATCACAGGGTCCTTTCCGCAGGCCTGAGACTCCCAACAGCCCCTTGGCGGAGCCAGTCACCTGTCTACAACCACCAACCAAAGAAAATTGTGAGCTCTTTGTCAATGAAAAATGAACTTTCTGTGCTTTGTCAACGTCGCTGCGGAAGCCCCCCCAGTCCCGAGGCTGGGTGAGCCGCGGCGGCGCTGAGCTATTGTGATAAATGAGGGCACAGGTCAGAGGGCCCGCGCCCTGGGCAGACGCCTCGTTTATCTCGCCTCTGCATCGGCTCCAGAGAGCACTGCAGAACTCCAAGTCACCCTGGCACCGCGAGTGGCACACCAGGCTTAGTGCCCAGTCCCCAGACACTACCAACAGGAAACGCCTCCAGGACAGGTGCCCAGGTGGCTTCCGGGACAGAGGACACTCTGGCCGATGCCTTGTCTCTTCACTCGTCTCAGGGCCCCCCCCCCCCCCCCGAATGGCCTGGGCTTGGCCCCACTTGAGTGTGAGAAGTCACTGAGCACATCCCCTCCAGCTCTGACCCGGCCTGGCCTTCAGCCCTGATGGTCAACGGTGAGAAAGCAGGCTGGTCAGCGACGCTGCCTCCTGGGTCACCTGTGCCTCTGGGTTCTGAGCACCTCAACTAGTTGAGGGGCTACAGACCACTGACAGGGCAGCCAGAGCAGGCAGACTGGCCTGCAGGGGTGCACCCAGCAGTTGCCAAGGGGGCCAAATGCTGAGCTCCAGCCTCTACTCCCCACCTGCCCTGCAGGCCTCGCCAGCTTCTTTCCCAGCATGCAGGGCTCCTGTGGGCCCCCCAGTGACCGGCTGCCGGGAGGACACACCCACAGTGCCAAGCTGGCCTCCCCGGGCTGAGGACCTGAAGTTACTGTGAGGATCTGCTCCGTGACCCCTGGCCCGGAGGGACCCCAGCAGGCAGGCCCTGTCCACGGCACCTCGAGGTCCTGTGGGGAGCCCCCAGCTCGGGAGGGGCCCATTGCTCTGAGGGCTGGTGTGAATAACTCTGCATGAGGCTTGATTCTGATTCTGACATTTTACGTGATAATCACCATAGCAACGCAGGTCAGCCTCCTTGAGGAACAAATCGAGACTACGTCTGAAAACTTCCGAGAAAAATGCCACTTCAGGCCATCTGCCACACTCAGACAATAAACCGGAGCCTGGGCCTTCAGGCTTGGAGAGAAAAAGGGACGTTTAGGATGAACATAGAGTTTTCTTTTGTGTTGGATCCATATCAACTAACAAAAACGTGATTTGTCCTTCTGTCAACTATATTAATTACCTTAACAAGTTTGTACATCCCATTTCTACACATTTTTCTGCTGGAATTTTTACATGATTACGCAATGACAGCATTTCCAGGGAGTGGAGTGTGAGCGGATGTAGTCCCTGACGCCCTGCCCGGGGCCTGCGAGCGCCACACCACGCCCCGCAGCATCATGGCCTCGGGGTATTTCCCACCAAGCGTCTGCCTCGAACCTGCTGGCGCCAGGAGCTTTGTCACCCAGACGAGCGGGCCTTGGAGCCTCACCTCCTCAGCCGGGATCCGGAATTCCAACTGGAAAGTCATTGGTTAAGAAACTACAGGAGGAAACCAACTGCTAGAAAGGCCAGGGAATCTTTCTGGTCCTGAGAGGGGCAAACGGCGTGGGGCAAGGTCTCTGGGGATGCTTGTCCCATGAATCCTATTGGCCACGCAATCATCTCCAAGCTGCCTGAGCCCATCGGTCTAACCCTCAGGAAGAGTCCAAACAGGCACTGAGGCGCACGGGTGGCCCTCAGGAGGTGCTGGTGAACTGAAAACAGCTGAGAAAATGGCCTGAGCAGCACCCCTGAGATGGACCTGCTCAGTGACCTGCTTCCCACAGTCTCTGCAACGACCAAGATGCTGCCCGGGATTCCTCCTAAGCGAACACACCAACCATTTGCTTTGCTGGGCCAAACACGGGTGACCCAAGGCATGAGTATGCCTACTAGGAGCCAGTGTTGACCTCTGACCTTTGGGGGACTGGGCCTCAAGGAAAGCCAGGGCCTCTGGTGAAGGTGGGCAGGCCCCGGGGAGGGGAGGGGAGGAGAGGGTGGGGAGAGAAAAGGAGACCCACCTGGGAGGGAGCCAGCTCAGCTGACCCACCTGTCCCCCCTCACTACACTGGCAGGGGGTGCCCCTACCCGCAGCCCAGCCTGCAGAGGAGAGCAGAGCCCTGTGGCAGTTTGCAGGGGCATCCCTCGAAGCAGCAGGAGGGCGACAGGGGCTGTCGGGGACGGAGGCTGTGGTGGAAGCCGCGTGCACAGGTTTTCCCGAGGGGCTAATTGCCCTGTTGGTTTGACGACAAACCGAATCCTGAATGGGGCATGATTCACGGCCCGGCGGGCGTGGCTGACAGGGCGTGGCTGGCGTGCACTGGGCCTTACCTGCCACAGCTCCAGGCACATGGGCATGCCTGGCTTGGCATCTGCCTCTGGCTTCAGGGTGCACACTGACGTCTTGGATGGCATCTCCAGAATCTGAATCTGACAGTAAGAAAACAAGTTGATTTGGGCCGGCGCCAAGTCGAGTCTGTTCTATACAAACAAGAGACTTTTAAGGCGATTAGCTAAGACTGCTGCGAGTTTCTGTCTGCTCCCACTAGGAACCTGGGAGCCCGGCCTAATTAGGCCGCACAGGCCCGTGGGCTTGAGTGCTATGTACGAGCCTGGTGAAACAACGTGCGTGGCATCATTCCTGAGCAACCGTGGGCACATCCCTCGAGTAGCATTCTACCCAGGGCAGCCTCCGGCCTCTCCCCAGTTTTACCTCCTTGCCGAGCAGGATGCCTGGCTCACCAAGCACCGCTCGGGGCGGCCACTCTCCTGGCCTCTGCCTGCTTCCCTTTCCTGCTGTGGGTTTTACGGGAATGACTCTGCACTCTCAGCATATCAAATGGTACAGACTTACGCAGGGACCACTTGGGGACCCGCCGCCCAGCCTAGGAAAGAGCCACGATGTGCACCAGGGGAAGCTCTGTGTAGAGCCTGGCTCAGTGCCCGTGTCTTGACCCTGGGTGTCGTGGCTGTATTTTGTGTCACCTAGACAGCTCAGGCTCGGGCTTGTCCACTGAGTTGGGCCAGGCTCTGTCCCGCATTGTCGGCAGGGGACAGCCAAAGCCAAAGGAGCAGGCTCAGGAGCTGGAGCCCCGTAGACTGGAACTGGGCTCCCAGACATCTGCACCCCTCATGCCTCAGCTCCCTCATCTGCCAAGCAGGGATTAGGGTGCCACTCCTGCAGGTCCACTGCTCCATGTTTGGGGGGTTCAGCCAGCCCTTAGCTCCCCATGCACTGGTGAGAGCAGCTTCACCAACACCACAGCAACAATGGGCAGCCATGTGGAGCCGCACATCACGCCTCGCCCACATGGAGGCATGCTCTGGTTTGCAGACAGGAGTGTGAGTTCCGAGGAGTTGAGGACGCTGAGGGGACAGCTGGCCTACTGTCTGATGCCCAGAACACAGAACCGCTAGCGGGGAGAACCAGGGTGAACTCGAGTTGTGCAAGCATGGCTGAGCTCTCGCTAACACGCACAGGAGAAGGGCCCAGGCCCCAGAGTTAAGTCCCGAGTCTGAGTTCCAGTTCTGCCACATGTGTGCTGGTGCCATGCCCGAGGGGGTCGTGGCCTGGTCCTCTCAGCTTCGAGGCCCTGCAATGCGCCCCATGCCTGCCTCTATGCTCGGGCGGCACGTCCACAAGCTGGGGCTGTGGGTGTGCTCTGGGCAGGGCTCTCAACGGAAGCCTGCAAAGCGTCCTCGCCCCAGCACTGGTAGGAAGGGTGAGTCCTGGGGCCCCTGCCGGGTGTGAGCACGCGTGCGCGTGCACACACACATACACACACACACACTCACACACGCAGACACACAGGCTCTACACCAGGTGGATCGGCCCTCACTGCCCACGAAGGAGACAGAAAAGAACAGAAGTGACATGAACTGTGTTACGGTCATGAAATAAAGGGTGGCCAGAAAGAGGACCCTGGTGCAGCCAAGATGCCCGAGGAGGAGCTCTAGCAAAATGAAAAGAAATATAAGAAAGATGATGTGTGACAACCAAGACCCAGTGTGTGAGCCCGAAGGAAAAAGAAAACCCGGAGAAAGGAGAGAGGGCTCTTGCAGTGATACCAACTCAGGGACAGGCTCATCCCCGGCAACAGAGCACCCGGCCAGGATGGCTCACCCAGGGCGGCGAGAGATGCTCTGCTCCGTCCCCACGCCTTGCGCACCCAACACCGCACAGTGCAAAGCCGCAGGCCGTGGCCGAATGGCAGGGCCCCCTTGGCTGCTTCAGCATCCCGGTGAGCCGGCCCACACTGCGCGGTGAGGCGTGGCCTGGAGAAACACTGACCACGCTGCTGGGGGCAGGGCGCGTGATTTCCTACTCTGTGCACTGTTCTATTTCCTGAATTATTCAGATTTATTAAAATGAGATTTGTTCCTCTTGTTACCATATCAGGAGGACAGGCTGGTTTCAAGATGCTGAGTGGCTGGAGGGGGAGGAGCAGCCACAGGGAGAGGGATGTCAGAGGGAGCAGATGTCGCTGGACATGGTCTGCACAGGTCCACGCTCAGTGAGGGATGGCCCATCCTGGTCTTTGGGCTCGGGAGTCACCCAGCAAGTCTGCTCTGGTCAGGAGGGGAGGGGCTCAGGGGGAAACATGGCAGCCCCGAGGCCTGAGCTGGGCACCGTGGGAGGGAGCGCGGGGAAGGGAGAGCAAGGAGCCATGGCTCAAGGACCAGGGCAGCCCCGTAGCCTGTGCCCAGAGCCTCCTGCAGACACTGGAGTGCTTTCCATCTGGCACTCAACCGCACCTTTTATTTCCAGAAGGAAAAATGTTGGTTTGAGCAAGTGTGGCCACCCAGACGGCCAAGTGGGGCAGGAGCACGGCCTCCCCCGGCATTGTCTGGGCACAGGCCAGCGATGCTTTTCCAGGGCCTCGTCCAGGCAGATTCCAGGTGGGAACATGGAAAATAACTATTTTCCCAGGATGTGCCAGGTCCCTGGACGGGCTGCTCCTGAAAAACACAGATGCTGCCAGAGCTGGGAGCCAGGAGGTGGGTTCAAACAGCCTCAAGCAGAAGGCACGAGTGGTCTTAAGGATCAGGCCCAAGAGAGGAGGGTGGGGGTGGAGGGTGAGGGCAGGAGGAGGGACGAGAGCAGCCAGAAGTCCCGGGGTGTCCGAGGTGGAAGCCGGCACACAGCACCCTGGCTCCGGCGGGAGCTGGCTCGGCCCTGCGCCGTCTCTGCGTGCAGGGGGAAGGCTGGCTGCCTGGGCTCCTGCCCTCCCGAAGGAAACACACCTCTCTCTTTTCACATTAATAAAACTTTTAACAGGTTTTTGGCAAATTGGCAAGAAAAGTGTATGTAGCTCTAATTGGTGATTTAAATGCCATCATGAACAAATAAATGCCTGTTCCTATCTCATTATTTATGAACTGAACCTGCTTGAAGACAAACGGCTCTTCTTGGGCGGGGGCCAAGCCTCCCGTGTGCACAGGCCGCAGGTCCCGGCCCAGCGCTGCCAGCTGAGCAGACTCCCTGGGAGAACACGGGAGTGGGCGGCAGGCAGAGGCTCCCACTCCCTCCCCACCACCTCCTCCACCCCAGGCGGGACCCCACCTCTCCCCCATCCAATCACCACTCGTGGTTTCTTCCCCATTTCCCTTCAGCTCCCTCACAGCCACACCCTCCTCCTCTCCCAGGCACTGCTTCCCGAGGGGGATTCTGCCTCTTCTGTCCCCGGGCTGTTGACACCACTGTGCAGCCAGAGCAGTCCTTGCCACCACCAACCACTGCTGGCCGCTCTGGCATGAGCACCATCTGACAGTGACCTCTGAGGCTCTGTCACACCCACCCCACCCTCCAGCCCCAGCCTCTGACGCTCCCCTAATCACCTGTGCCCCTCCCCACTGCAATCACCACCCAGTGCCAGCCCTTACCCCCAGACCCAACCCCACCCGAGGCCTCTCACGCCAGGGCCTGGTTCTGCTCCCCAAAAGGCTGCCCCTCCCCTGCTGCCCTGGCTCCCAGGCCCACTGCAACTTCACCAGGGCCTTGGTCTGCCTTCCACCACCTCCTGCTGGTCTGCTGGGGACTTCCCTGCACACGTGCCTGCTCCTAAGTCCGCTGAGGACCTGTCTGGGTGTCTCCCCAGAACTCCTGATGGCCTCAGGCGTTGCCACTCGTCCATCTGCAGCGTGCTGGGTGCCTGGTCCTCCCAGAGACACCAGTCACCCCTGTGGGCCTCCTTCCTGACTTTCACCACCAGGAACATCTCACAGGTGACCAGACGAAGGCCCATCCCGAGGCCCCTGGAGCTGCACTCACAGACAGATCCAGACTTCCCACAGCTCCCCAGGTCCTGTGGAGAGCAGTGTTCCTGCAACCCAATGCTAAGGATGCCCATGCCCATGCCCGCGTAGGGAAACTGAGTCTCCAGTGACTCGTGGACAAGGGGCTGGGCAGGCTGGTGCTCACCTCGTCGCTGCCTCCCCCGGGCACAGCCAGCATCCAGCGCTGCTGACCCCGGGCCAGGATGGAGCCCCTGCAGAAGCCCACGCTCTCCAGGCCCACGGAGTCCACGACGGCGTTTCTGCCCTCCGCCAGGTCCCACAGGCGCAGCTTCAGGTCTCGGCCCTGACTGCCAAAACCAAGGAGAGACAGGCCGTGAGCCTCCCAGGTGAGCGGTCTGCACATCCCACCTGGACAAATGCCGGCGTGCTGTGGCCACCCTGAGGCCGAAGGAAGGCAGGGGCCTTGCCAGAGGGGACCTTGGCTACCGCCAGATCATCGGCTGGGGAGCCCTGGCGTTCACAGGAGTCTGTGTCCAGACTGATATTCAAACGCCTGGGCATCTGGAGGACTAAGAATCACGCGGCACTCTTAAGGACGGGCTGACACTGAGGGAGACAGACGTGGCAGTGTCCTTAACACAAGGACGAGCCAGAGCCTAATGCAAGACAGACATGCTCACACACGGAGGGCATCTGACTCACGGTCAAGATGGCAGCCATGCCGTAAGCAAGGACCGGCCTGTTTTTAAGTAGCTTTTTATTCTGAATTTGTTTCGAACTCACAGATCAGTTGTGTGAACAGCAGGAAGACCTCCCACACCTCCTTCACCCGCCACCTAATTGCTAACGCTGCACACATTCTGTCCTGGCCTGACGCCCATCACCCCAGATAATCCTCACACAGGGACAGCCACACCCCGAGCTCCTTGGCCCAGGTGGCAGTGGGGGTGGGGCACTCGCTGCACTGGGACGAGTGCAGCCTGTGCTCCCAAGCAGCCCAATGTGCTCGAACGTTCCATCTGTAGGTGCGGGATCCCCAGGAGGCCTGGCCGAGAGCCTTCGTCCATTTTATCTGCGGCAGGCCCCGGTGGACAACTCAGACCTCCATCCACAGTAGGACAGAAGTCACCTGGGAGCACACATCCAGGCAGCACCACCGGAGAAGCTGCCCAGTGCACTGCAGCCACGCGCACCTTGGGGGATCCCACAAAGACAGAGCTCAGTGAAAAAGGTCAGATGCACAGGAAGCTGCTCTGGGTGACTCCACTTTTTAAAGTTAAGAACAACAACAAAAACAGACAAAATGGCCCTAACCGGTTTGGCTCAGTGGATAGAGCGCCGGCCTGCGGACTGAAGGGTCCCGGGTTCGATTCCGGTCAAGGGCATGTACCTTGGTTGCGGGCACATCCCTAGGAGGGGGCATGCAGGAGGCGGCTGATCGATGTTTCTCTCTCATCGATGTTTCTAACTCTCTATCCCTCTCCCTTCCTCTCTGTAAAAAAAAAAAAAAAAAAAAAAAAAAATCAATAAAATATATTTAAAAAAACAAAAAAACAAAATGAGTCTTCGCCTTTTGGAGATGCACTTCCCGGTGGTAAACGCAAGTGAGGCATGAGGGCTGCCTCCCGGGGACAGGCAGGGAGCAGGGCTGCAGAGCTCCACGTCCTGCTGGGGCACTTACACAGGTGTCCACTCTGTGATAGCACAACAGTCTGCAAACTCGCTCTCTGCACTCATCTGTGAGTACGCTACAGCTCACAATGAAAGAGGCAGGAAACATACCCGCACAGGTGTGTCCTCGAGCCTGTAGATGGGGCTGGGGGTGTCTGTGGAACTGCCCCTGGGCTCTCCGGAGCCCCTTGCACAGCCTGGCGAGGGCCGGGGCCTCTGGTTCCTCACTTTCTGTCCTCCAGACTCTCCTCGACATGAAAGCTCACTTTCCTCCCTCAAGAGCCACTTTGGAGAGACTTGACTTCCAAACACAGCTGGGTGCACAGCCTGTAGTGCAACATAAACGCACCTGCGCATTCCGAGCACCTGCACGGCCTGCGCTGTAGACCTCCTCACCCGCAGGCCCCTGCCTGGAGCGGGGCTGCCGCAGGGCCATCACAACCGGAAGAAGAGGTGCCATCCTTACAGGTTACACCAGCAGCTGTCCACCCCGCACCGCGTTGGCCCAGATCTCCGTGGCCTGAAGCCTCAGAGCAAGATGTCAGGTGCCCGAGCACTCACGGCCAGGGGTTCCCAGAAGACAGCCCTAGAGGTGCCTGGGCCCTAGAGAGCAGGAGGCCCAGAGGGCCTACACCGCGGCTGGAAATTCTGCAGAAACATTTGTAAATGGCAGCTCCTGGTACAAGTGACTTAGTGGGGTATTCAGACATGACACCTACTCTATTGTCAGGGAAAGACGGAGACTGAGGGCCCTGTGTACCAAGTGGGGGCGGTGGCATCTGGGCCAGCCTGGCCAGGGAGACAAGGCCCTGTGAGGGCTCTACAAGCACACACGTCCAGGGCCACAGCCTCCAGGACACCTCTGGGTCACCTTCAGGGTGGTGGGAGCCACAGGAGTCTGGCATAACAGTGCTCTGCAGACCAGTGGAGGCCAGCAGGCCTCATCCTCTGGGGACCGGCTCCACAGCGCACAGAGAGATGTCCAGGCTGAAGCCCAGAGCAGGAGAACAGACCAGTCCTGGAGCATAGGGGCAGAGCGTCCAGGAGGCTGGCACTTTGATTTGGTAAATTCCTGGGCTGGGGCAGCAACACCTGAGCAGGGGCAGATGTCAGTGCAGCCCAAGACAGTGGCCAGCTCTGGCAGCCAAGTAGGTACCCAGCTCCCTGCACATCTCCTGGTCTGTGCCCTGCCCCTCCCGCTCCCCATGGGAAGCAGAGAAGCCCCTTTCAACTTGCTGTCTCACCCACCTGCCCCTTCCTGTTGCCTCCTGGCCCAGCCCTCACCTGCAGTCCCCAGTCTGTCACCTCCACATGGCCACGGTGGCAGTGCCAGAACAGAACCACTCCCCACTCCGCTGCCCAGCCTCCAGCCCCTCATGGCCCCCGTGACACTCCCAGCTGGGCCTGCCACAGCCTCAGCAAACCCACTCTCCTCCATTGGGAGCGCCAGGCTGCCCTCACTCCTGCCACTTCCTGCTGAGCTCTCACTAGCCAGCCCTGAGTGCCCGGACATGGGCACGTGTGTGGTGCTCCCAGCCTGGTGAGCTTAGGCTCAGGCTCTGAGGGCTGCCCTGGCGACCCGTCTTCGCCACCTTGCGGGAAGGTGGCTGCATGGCCAGGGATACGGCCACCCAGGGCCTACAGGAGGGAAGCGAAGCTCCTCCAATGAGGGGCCTCGAGCTCAGCCTCGGGACCCCAGCTCCCACCACTGGGGAGCTGCAGCAGGCCCGGCAGGCTCTGCTCAGCCACTGGCGGCTGGGGCTATGGACAGAACCGTTCTATACGGTCATGAGGCCCTTCTTAGTGAGCACCAGCCGGGACAGCACCCAGCACACCCCAGACGCACTGCCTCAGTATGGGCTGAGAGCAGGGGTCACACCCTATTCTGCTGTTGGGGGTGGGGCAGCCTGAATGGCTAGGGGAGGCTGCACACCTGGCTCCTTTGGGACTGCCACTGAGACATACATACCTGAGGAGCTGCTGTCCCTGGGGCAGTGTCTGCAGCCAGATCACACACTGACCCCCGTGCCCGTCCAGGGTGGCGATCGCCCTCCGTGTCTGCAGGCTCCAGATGTGCACCAGCCCACTCAGGGACCTGTTCAGACGAGTGCAGGGCAGGGTCGGGAGGAGGTGGCGGAGGAGGTGGCCATGCCCAGCACGCTCCCCAGGGCCCGTCTGGTGGGCCAGGGTTCCAGCTGCCTGAGCCTTCAGTTTAGGTGACCGCTCTGAACAGGAACTAAGGGTAAAAGGGGCACATGCTCTTCTTCCAAGGGGGCCTCGAGGGCCCCTTAGGCAGAGCCTGCCTCTCAGCAGAGGGAGGGAGGGCTGCCGTTGACAGTGCAAACTGGATGGCACCTGTAACAGGATGGGCGTGTGGCCCTGCCTCCCCCAAGGGGGTGAGGCCCAAGGGGACAGTATGTAGAGTGCCTCTAAAAGTGCCCGGGTGACAGGCAGCCTGAGCGGCTCAGCAGGACCCCCAAACAAGCGCCAGGCTCATTGCTGGCCCCGCAAACTTCACCCTGGGCTCGCCCCCGGGGGCGGCCCAGTAGCAGCAACTCACCCTGAGAGGAGAAGCTGGTGCCCCTGCTCCTGGGCTCCTCCCCAGAAATGCAGCGCATGCACCGCCGACTGGGTGCCCCGGAGGACAAACTGGGGGTCTGGTGGGGCCACCATGCTGGGCGGGGCTGCAGCCACCTGGGGACCAAGGGGGGGCAAGTGAGTGGCCCACCTGTCCCCCCTCAGAAAGGCAGTGGGAGGCCTCCCTGGATGCTGCCCATCCGTCTTCCATCTGCTATGGCCTCTGCACCCAAGTGGAACCACCCTAGTCCCAACATGGGCACAGCAGTGGCCACAGCCTCCTTCAGCCACACTTGCCTGGCACAGGGCCCTCCGTTGGTCTCCAGGAACTCCAGTCCACACCAGCTACACCTGGCTGCCTGGCCCCCACTGGCCACTTTAGCGCCGTCCCACTCGGGCCAGGCAGGTCCTCCTCGCCCAGGCAGGTCCTCCTCGCCCAGGCTGCGCAGGGGCCGCCCGGACTCCAGGCCTGGCTGAGTCCTGCTTCTGACCAGGCCTCACTCCAGTTTCTCCCTCAGGGAGCCCCCCGCAACCGGCCCTCCCAGAGAATTCAGCGAGCGCGAGGGCCCTGGGTGCCAAACAGCGAGCAGGACCAGAAGATGGGGAGGAACCACGTCCCCCTCTGTGTCTGCGCTGCAAATGCTGCCCGCTGGGTCCCGGGCCTGAACACCCACAGCTGCTCATTGCCGCCGCCATCCTTCAAGCAGGCAGCACCCTTTACTGCCGGGGGAGGATCAGCTTCGTGAGCGGCCCTGGGAGCCGGAGGCCCAGGCCTGCCCCAGCCAGAAGGCGCAGAGGGGCCGGCGCAGCAGCGTGCGGGCGGGCGGTGTGTGAACTGCCTAGCCCCTACCCAGGAGGCTGCTATCACAGATGAGAGGCCCTTCCTCATGTCACTGGTCCTGAGTTTAAGGTCTGTGGGGCCCACTCACCCCAAGGAGAATCCGCCCAGTGTCCCCACTGAGCCCCCCCCAGTCACTCAGTCCTGCAGAGGCCCTGGGAGCCTGTGTCCTCTCACGCCAGCTCAGTCCCACAGGCAGCAAGCGACTCAACAGTGCAGGGGTGGCTGCTCTCAGTAGGTGTGTGCGTGGGGGGAACAGAACCAGAAGTGACGTGCTCCAACCGTCAGGGGACACATCTGTCTGCCCACAGGCCTGGCTGGGCTGAGGATGCGAGGCTCTGGGACAGTTCCCAGCCCACCCACCTCCAGCCTGCACACAGGGCAGGAAGCGGCCACGTGCCCAACCACTATGGCAGCCACGGTCACCCGAGGAACCGAACTGGAAGGCTCCCTCCGGGAAGAAGCCTTGGCCAGGAGGTTGATGCCAGGGCTTGGAGGGGTTCCAGGCCTGGACAGAGGCCTAGGAGGGGCTGCAGGCTGAAGCTGGGCACATGCATGGGCAGCAGAGGCAGGAGAGGCGTGGGCCACTTCAGCCGTGCCCTCAACCACCAAGCCCTGCACCTCCTCTCCTTAAAAGCATCCCAGGCCCTCTCCTTCTGGTCTAGCTTCAGAAGAGAGCAGGAGCAGTGTGACTCGAAAACACCTAGGAAATGCCACTGTTGAAGCAGCTGGGGACCCCAGGGGACTCTAGGTCACCCGAGAGCAGAGGGTGAGCAGCAACCAGAGCCTGGAGACCACAGGGACTGTGCAGGAGAGCGGGGAGCACCAGGACACAGAGACCGGTGGTGGGCCACTGCCGGCGCCCAGGCCCCCTGAGGTCTGGCTACCATGAAGCAAGTGCAAGTAGGGTTGGGTCCTAGATCCTTAAAGACCAGAGCGATACTACAGAGCCAGGCCCAGGAAGGGGTGGCCCCAGCCTCTGGCCCCAGGGCAGATAGTCACCCTGACTGGCCACTCTACCACTAGATCACGGGGTTTCAAAGAGAGGGAGGGGTTCCCTGGGAACATGCTTTACAAATGGCCAAGTGTGTATCTGTTTCTCTCCCTCTAAATTTCCCCCCCCTTTGGCTAAAGGCCAACCGACTCTTCCCAAACACAAGAACAGCCTCCAGCCGGGAGCAAAGAGACCCAATCCCACAGCCCCATCTGCTCACAACCCATGGCCTCTGCTCTGGACGGGACAGGTAAGCCACCTAGAGAAGCTGCCAGGCCAGGGCTGCCAACCCTGCAGGGCGATCTGGGCTGGCTGACTGGGTGGACAGGTTCCGAGGAAAGCTGTTGGGCCCTCAGAAAGCACTGCTTGTCCGGGCTGTGCCTACCCCGTAAGAACAGCTGGTCAGCCGCCGGCACAGGGTTGCTGGGCCCCAGGTTTGGAGAAACCCAAGAACGCAGAGCCTGCTCAAGCACCTCAACCCAGCAGAAAAGCCCCAGTTCAGGTTGGGGAGGCACCCCACCACTTAGTCCAAGCCACAGAGTCCCACCTTTGCAGGCTCCCACTGTGCAGTCCTGACATGTACACTCCCACCTTGTTCATGCTCACATATACACGCACAGGTGCTCACACACGCACACCTACACATATACATGCACATGCTTATGGACACACACAGGCATGTGCTTACATGCATGCACACACGCATACACATGCTGTGCCAGCTGAAGCCCAGCCCACACTTGCCACCTGCCTGGGGCCAGAAAGGAGTTTCCAGAACCTCACCAGCACAAGGCTCGCTCTGAGGTGATGAAATCAAGTTCTCCTCTATTGTTTCCCCAGAAGTTCAGGGAACAAACCCGTCACGTTGTTACAACAACCAAATGCTCAGGCCAAAATGATGCATCGGCAATTAAGGGCTCCATCATTTCAAGCAATTAAAATAAATGCTTTATTTGAAAACTAATTAATTCTAGCTACATATTTTTCCCATGACAATATCCTATGATTACTTGATTTATGACATCTAATTATTCTTTATTAATCTAATTGAGAATAATCGCATTATCCTATCTCCCCTGGCACCAGCGGCCTGGAGCGGAGGCCGCAGCCCTTGCGCAAGGTTGATGTGCGATATGGCCACCGCCGCTGCCTCCGTGCCCTGTTCTATCAGTTGTCTCTCCCTCCCGGAGGGCAAAGGAACATGAAACTTAATCCACCGAGCACAACGTCGGATTCTGCCTGCTCTTCAAGATGTCAAAGCGAGACACACATTCTTTTAAAAATTAAAAAGAAAGACAATCTGACACAATTTGCACAACTCTGACAGCCTTTCCAACTGATGCTACAAATGCGCCCCAAAGCCCTGCAGGCCCTCAGCCCACAGACGAACAATGACAGCGTCCCCTTGTGTCCCCTCAGTGGCAACAGCCTGGCAGGCTTATCTCCAGGAGAGGGGAAGGGAGCCTGTCCCCAGGCGTGGGGAGCAGTGGGTGGTTGAGCGGAACCCAGCACTCACCCTCCCACTGAGGTCACATGCCTTGGGCAGGCCCAGCAGCCACAGGGGTTCACGGACGCCCCTCATGGTGGAGGCAGGAGCATGTACCCCACCAACTGGGTGCTGCTGAAAAGCTGCCCCAGCCCCGGGGGCTGCATCAGCAGGCAGGACCCATGCAACTCAAGAGGAAGAGGAAGAGGGGCTAGAGGAGGGGCTGGTGCCCAGAGACCACAGGTCCCACCTGACGTTCTTGGGCTACTGGAGGTTCATAACTCTGTGTGCCCCGTGGTCTGACCCACCAACAGACTGCAGGACTTCCTTGGGCACCTGCCCCACACTCAGTCATGGGGCCCTTTCCTTTTATTGCAATAGAACCACTGTTCCGTGAAGAAGCCTGGAAATCAAGAAAGAACAGCAGAAGTGAGCCAACGTGGAGGAGCCACCACCCAGAGGTGCTGGGCACTGCCCCAGCCCACTGGGTCCTGCCTCACTGCCTGTGTGTGCGTGAGAGGGCGAGGGCAAGGGCAGGCAGAATGGGATCTGGAAGTAGCTCAAACAGGAACCCCACGCCCGCATGAGTGGCAGACAAGGGCACAGAACCTTTAGCAGGCCCTAAGACCCTGAGCGTTCCATAGCCAGCTCGGACTAGGGAGGCACCGCTTTCTAGCAGTATGAAGGTCCCGACTGGCCCTCTCTGCAATAAAGCAAATTAAAATGCTGATAACATTAAAAAACAAAATCGTCAATACATCACTAAGTTGTTTTCCAAAAAGTCTGGAACCTTCAGAGGCCAAACACTAAGTTAAAGTCAAATCTAATGAGGTCTGTGGAGCCTGCAGCTGGCTCCTGCCCTGAGGGCATTTGCTGTACCAGTGACCTAGAGTTTGAGCTCTCAAGGCCTCCGGGCCCACGAAAGACAAAACTCCCAAGGTTAGTAATGTCAAAGGAGTATCCGCATAAAGATGAGACCCCACAGGGCAATATTCTCAGTGTTAGACTGAAACAGAACTAAAGCTGCACCCAGAGGTGCCAGGACAAAGCCAGCCCTTAGGGTTCAACCCTAATTCACACCACCTTGGGAGGTCCTCAAAACTTCAGTCTGCAAAGTTTTTCAGAAGGAGCCCACCTTCAACTCAGACCTCAATGAACTCATACACACAGCCCTACAAAATGGAGGCTTATAGTCAAAACTCATAAAAATAGCCCTAGCCCGTTTGGCTCAGTGGATAGAGCATCAGCAATGGGGACTGAATTGTCCCGGGTTCGATTCCAGTCAAGAACACATGCCCGGGTTGTGGCTTGATCCCCAGTAGGGGGCGTGCAGGAGGCAGCCAATCAATGATTCTCTCTCATCACTGATGTTTCTAATCTCTCTCTCCCTGTCCCTTCCTCTCTGAAATTAATAAATGTATATTTAAAAAAAAAAACTAATAAAAAATAAATAAGGAAACATGGCACCATGAGTGAGAGCCAACAGAAACAACAGGAAGCAGAACCAGACCCCCCAGAGCAAAGCATTCAGGTATATTTAAAATAAGACTGCTGCCGAAACCGGTTTGGCTCAGTGGATAGAGCGTCGGCCTGCAGACTGAAGGGTCCCAGGTTCGATTCCGGTCAAGGGCATGTACCTGGGTTGCGGGCACATCCCCAGTGGGAGATGTGCAGGAGGCAGCCTGATCGATGTTTCTCTCTCATCGATGTTTCTAACTCTCCCTCTCCCTTCCTCTCTGTAAAAAATCAATAAAATATATTTTAAAAAAATAAAAAATAAAATAAGACTGCTTAATGGT